CATCACCAAATATAAAACAATCCTTTCATTGCCTTCTTTCTACTGGAATAAGTAAACAAACAGATATAATAAAGGGATCAAAAAGAATAGTGTTTGTAAGTTAATTACAATATGATGGATGTCTGTATGAGACTGTGGTGGTTAGTTAGTAAGTTAGAACATTTCCTGCTGCTGCCATTTCACATTAAAAGCATCCAACGGGCAAAACATGGGGTGGCTTTTGCTGTGAAGCAGTCGCATAAAAAACGCGACGTATTCATCAAGAGTTTCAGACCGACTGCGATCATTCATCAAACATGCATCTACAAAACTAGACAGCGGATCAGCGGACAGTTTTAAATATTGTGAAGAGTAAAGGAAGAAGAAAGAGCCGCCACAATGAGCTGTCTGATGAAGAGTTGCAGACGACTGGCTGATCACTGGCAACGTGATCAGCAAGGCAACCAACTCCTGTCATTGTGTTGCTGCAATTGGAGTAGAAAACTAGTTGCGCAAAGAGCAGCCTGAAATCAGACTTTTACTTCTTATTAAAACAACATGAGTTTGTTTGGTTACGCTGTAAAGAGACGCACCAGTTGCTCTTCTGTTGAAGGAGTGTTGACAGAACAGAGACAGAAATCTCAGTCATTGTGCTTCAAACTAACTAGCTTTGACACTGTGGCATCAGTTACATCTAATGGCTAAGGTGTTTCTACCTGTTCTGATTGGTCACCAATCAGAGAGGGACATGATGTGATCATTTGTACAAATGAGGATAACAGCACATACTTCCAGACAGAGTTAGCTGAGTGACGAATTAAAGAGCTTGAGAGAGAAGTTCAAACTCAGACTACTTTCATACCTTTGCACAGCGGGCCAATCACTCTGTAAACTGTGATTGTCAGACTTTTTCTTTTTAAAACCATACCGATGCTTTAAAACGGTGCCTCTCTGGAGTGATGGACCACTATCAGCACAACGTCTTTATGAATGGGTCATCATTTTGTTTGTATTTGAGGACACACATGACCGTGGGCGACAGGATTCCTACCGCCAGTTTAACGCCATTCGGTGGGTCGAGTTGCCGCTCGTAACCCACAAAGAAACGTAGCAACGCACCAGCAAAGGCAGTGAAGAGGAAGAAGGCTGCAAGCTATTTAACGTCAATGTAAACAATGCAGAATTGGACATATCATCAACTCATGTATTCATCTGCAAATATTTAGCACTTTCCTGCAATTTCTTTGCCATTTATGAGTAAATCAGATCATAAATGAGCAAAGCATCATTTTCATTAGTTCCCACAAGGATTTACAAATTCCAAGCTTGTAAAAAAAGTGTCTCTCACGTTCACAAACATATTAAGTGACTCAACATGACAGGAATGTTGAGTGACTCAACATGACAGGAATAACTAATTCGTTTAGTTGGTTGTTGTTGCGGGTGGCTTTCCTCATTGACTTGCTTTATTGTGCAGTAGAATACCAGTGAAACCCACCTGACAGGCCAAAATCTGGTATAGAAAATTTGTGACAGTAAAAACATTCTCCAGTTGCTGGCCCTCTTCCCAGAGTCATAAAAGTTTAAAAGGTGTTCATAATTGCTAACACACCTGTAACAGTCCGGGCTCGTGTTCCGTGTGCTCGATGTTTATATCTGGGCCCCCTTCTTTTTCCTCTCCTCTTGAAGGCTCAAATAGTCACATGTTTTCTATTTAACTGTTGTGCTGTTAGACTTCAGTTTTTGCTCTTTAGCTTTGCTTGTTTATAGAGAAGTACTGTTTCTTGTCATTTCACCAGGTCTAGGGACAACACCTAAAAAAAAAAGAAGCATTTGCAAATTCTTTAGAAGTGCTCTGGGGAAGCCCAACATCTTTGTGAATTGACAACCAAGGTTGAACTCAACCCAAAAACAGCTGGACCTCAACAGCTGTTGAAGAGACTTAGTGTACAGTCTCTTTGTTTTTATTGCTTAGAATCTTTTGGCCTTTCTTTATTGGAAGCATTTCCCATAAAGTTTTTATTTTTCCATTTTCCAGTAATTCCGATTCTGATTAATTTCTGGCATTTTTTTTTTAACGTGCTGATCATATTAGCTGTTATTTATTGTTCTTGCCTCTAACGCACTCCATAACTCTTTTAAAACACGAGGCTGTGGAAGTCTGATACATATTAAACCATAGAGATGCATTGATTAAAGAGACGAACGGCTGACTTGTCCAAAATGGTCTCAAAATATCTTCCAGAGATCACTGATCTGGTTAGAGTTCACTCAGACCTCTGAGAACCCGTTCACCTTTTTCTATCTTAAAGGAAAACTTCACTCACTAAATGACCATTTGTACATCAACTACTCATCCCGTGTTTCTTTCAATTCTTAAAGATAACTTAACTTTTTCAAAGAATCAACTGAAGGGGGTCGCGTTAAACAACAGTAACCAACATTAAACACAACTTGTGCCGTATCATATACGTCTCATTTATCCAGTCGTACGCTCACTACTTCCCAAACAAATGCATCTTTGTTCAAATCTTACTATTTAAAAACATTTCGGACTTGCGTGAGACTGTTTATGTAGAAGTGTTTCCAATAGTACGGTTTTAGTGTTGGTCATTTGTGTGAAGTTCATATGAAATGTTCACACCAAAAGACAGCCAGCCAGTAGGCCTCAAGGACTGTAACGCTGAACTTAACTATGACTTTTAATTCATACAACATCTAGTCTTCTGTCACGTCATGGGAATGTGTTTGACCGTTAAGGTGACTTGCTTCATGATCTACTTTTTGCACACAGATATAAAGAGCCAAGACTATTGGACCTAAATGTGGCAAAAGAACGACACAGATGAGAAATATCAACACAGATGTCTTTCTACACCTGGGATGGTAAAAGACTGTGTGGTAACTATAGTTTACATGATCCAGTCTATTCCCATATAGATAACTTTCAATGAGAATTCCTGAAGTTGGATAAGCCCGAGAAGTTCAAATTCATATGTCTGATGAATTGTTCACAATGATAAATGATAAATTCTGCCCGTCACTACGCCACTATTTCACAGCTAATCACCCATTCCAATAATTAAAATCAATACAAAGACTGGACGAACGGGAACACTGTGGCTCCACCTGTGAAGTTATGCAAGACACAATTAAACTTGGTCTGCTGCTCTATTGGTTTAAATTCTGCTGGTTATTTCTTTGATCCAGCATCCATGCTATTGGACACGGGATGTGCATGCCATTCTTATTGTTATGTAAGACAACCAAATACATTTTATTTAATCAAAAAGCAGATCAGAAAGTCAGAAATATTCAAAGATGAGCAGCATCTTAACTTTCTCATTCTAGACGCATCAACATCAGGAAGGAAGCAACGAGGACACCAAATGCTGCTGCTGGACTGTTCTGGATCCGGTCTCACGAACAGTCTTAAGTTGGTTAATTTAAAACTTAAGTATAATGAACAGTGAAACATGCGTTAGTCCACGCCTACAATCACGAATGCTTCGACAGCCAATCAATGGAAAACTCATAAGACAACTGTGAGGTGGATGAAGACAAACTTAGTTTGTGCATAGAACCCGCTCACACCCATAACCAGTCAGAAGTAGCCTACGATGTCCGGAAGACATGCCGTATATGTCAAATTAATGTTAATCAATGGGGTCATATCAAATCCAAAACTATTGTTCATTGTCTATTACTTTTTAATAGAGAAACTGCTGTTTCATGTCACAATATCAGACTAAACTGTCCACTCAAACTCGGTAGAGTGTGGGATTCAAACATCTGGACCACAACAGCTTCAATGTTCCTTGTCATAGAGTCGACAAGTCAGCGAAACTACTGCAGGGATGAACAACATTCTTCCAAAAGATATTCCCTCATTTGGTGTTTTGATGATGGTAGAGAGTGCTGTCCAACACGTCCCTCCAAAATCTTAGATAAAAACCGTGTAACTGTATAACTGTGTATGCACATTACATTCAATTGTACCATCCTCAGAGTGCTGCACGGATGACGTATTTCTGTTGACCAACCTGAAGTTCCCAATGTGATTTTCCTATTGGATTTGGGTTCATTGCAGTAAATCAGCTCTGTGGCAAAGACAAGTTTATGATACTTTTACAGTTTTGTTCAGCAAGACAATCTCCACAAACGAACACCGCGTTTAACATTTTTTGAAGCGTGAATGCAGTCGTCAAAAGTAAAAAGCTAATGTTTGCCTGTAAACGAGCGAGACCACGGCCGTATGAGCACGAGTATTCACGACGAGGCTGTGAAGGCAGATTGGTCAGCGTGATGATAGCTCCCGCCTTTTTTAAGACACGAGAGGGTATTTACTATGTAAATCTCTTAAGCTTGTGTCAACCACAGACATCCAACCAAAAACCATTCAAAGAACCCATTGAATTTGGAGACGAGGGAACTGGGAGTGCAAAAAAGCTATAACTCATTTACGAGTTAGGACTCCTTTCTGCAGCTCTCCATTATAGCTGAAAGAAAACATTGCTTTTCCAGAACAAGCTTTATTGGTTGATATTTCAAAATAAGGCAGAAGCACTGATGAACATCAACCTCAGTCGCTCTGAGGAGTCGGCATCCAGAGAGCGAAGCAGATTCGACCATTGGTTGGTCCAAAGTAATCACATGAAATCTAACCTATAATCAGTGTCTGTTCTGACGGCCGCTAAATGTGTCTGTCTGACCAACGGCCGAGAGAAAAGCAGAGCCAGGGGAGAACTAATCCAGCCTAATGAAAGATAGGTTGGTTATTACGAGTCATTACTGAGCGGCCGGGCAGAGACCACAGACATTCCTCCTGACAAAACACACTCACACTGTGGTTGTCAAATTTAAGCTGTCTCAGCAGTTTTTTCCCCCCTATACATACTTAGGGGACGTTTAACAGAAGAAGAAAAAAACACTTTATTCTTTCTTTGACACTTTGTCTTTTTCCATATGTGCCTCTTTTTGGTTGTCTGCCTCTTTCTGTAAACCCTGTCTGTGTCTCCGTCTCTCTCTCAGCAGATGGACGGTGGGTGGTCAGGGAAGGGTTAAGTGCTCGGGTCTATAAACTCTGCTTAAAGAGTCTGCTGGAAGCTACTGGTTCAGCCTTTAAATACAGTCATTTGACACATCCCAACAGGGGCTTGTAGCAGAGAGCAGCTGCTGACCCAAACGCAGGCTTTCAGTCGAGCTGAGGTGTCGGCGTCACACTGCTTTGGACAGCATGAAGGCTCTCTTGTTCACCTGTGTGCTGGTGCCTTGGCTGGTGGCGGCCTCAGCCAGGAGATCTGACGAGGACTCACAGCTGATATCGGGATCTGTACCTGGCAGGGAGCTGAACGGATACTTCACTGACCACTTGAAATCAAGGAGGGCCAGGGTAAGAACTCTATTATTTATGTCATGCTTCTCTGCCAAAAAGAAATGTTCTTTTCAATAACTCTGACACATGCATTTATTTAAAATATGCTGGAATAACAAAATGTTATTTAAAAAAAAAAAAAAAAAAAAAAAGGTAATTTGTTTATGCTTTAACACATTTTTTCGTAATTAGTCTAATGTCAGCAGATACACTGTGGTGATTTGTTGAGTATATAATTATACATTTATAAACAAAAATAAAGAATATGCGATACTGTGTATAGAATTAAATTAAAAACAAACCGACTGATTTTGGTCAGACCGGACTAATGTTCTCTAATAAGAGAAATTCTGCTGACAAAGCAAGATGAGATAGTTTAGACAGATGAAAAAGAAAAAGGGACAAGATATAAACTTTTACTTTACTAACCCCCAGGGGACATTAGGTCATGCTTAATAGCTGGCAATATTTAAAATCAATGAGGCACAGGCACATTATTCTAAAAGCTAGTCATAGATGTCATGGTTTAATCGGTTCATTTGTCTTCTCCTACTTGATACTGACAGAAACTGTCAGCACTTTACTTCCCCGTCCTCCTCTATCAGATAATTCATTCAGCTCACAGTTTATACACACACACACACACACACACACACACACACACACACACACACACA